CTCTCCATCTTGGTTGCCCTAATGCTGCGGTCCTAAATTTCAAATTACCTAAAATAGAAACATTCGTTTGGCTTTCAAAATGATACAATTTTCTTTATTATGCTGTCTCCATTTAGCTATCTTATTCGTCATATTCCTGATGAATGATAAATGACCTTGGACGGTGACTAGTAATGTCCTTATAGAAATTTTGCTTCACGTTGCGCTTTGTACTTAACATGACCAAAATTCGTCTTGAATATAATTTGATTACTATTTTTCAGCCGAATCCTATCCAAATATATGCACAAAGTTAATATTTCTGATTGTAAAATGATATTGAATCACCCTTAACGACTTGTTATATCTCCCAGAGTAGTCTCTTTTCGTATGCAAATTCCAATATACCTAAATTTGTAGGGTGTGTTTGACAAACCACTATTTGTTGGTTGTTAAACATTTTGACTCTCCATGTTGGTAGCACTAGTGCTGCGATCCTAAATTTCAAATTACCTAGTGTAGAAACATTCGTTTGGCTTTCAAAATGATACAATTTTCTATAATATGCTGTTTGGCTATCTTATTCCTCATATTCAAGTTGAAAATAGATCATCTTGGATAGTGACTAGTAATGTCATTACATAGATATTCTGCTTCACATTGCTTCTTATACTTACATGAACAAAATTCGTCTTGATTCTAATTTAATTGCCATTTTTCAGACGAATCCTTCTCAAATATATGCACAGAGTTTATATTTTTAATACTGATTGTGGAATGATGTCTAATCTCCCTTACCAATGTGTTATATCTCCCAGAGTAGTTTTTTTTTTGCGTATCCAAATTCAAATATACCAATTTTGTAGGGTGTGTTTGACAAACCACTATTTGTTGGTTGTTAAACTTTTTGACTCTCCATGTTGGTAGCCCTAATGCTGTGGTCCTAAATTTCAAATTGCATATTATTGGAACATTCGTTTGGCTTTCAAAATGAAACCATTTTCTTTTATATGCTGTTTCCATTGGGCTATCTTATTCGTCATATTCATGATGAATGATAGATCATCTTGGATAGTGACTAGTAATGTCATTACATAGATATTTTGCTTCACATTGCTTCTTATACTTACATGAACAAAATTCGTCTTGATTCTAATTCAATTGCCATTTTTCAGACGAATCCTTTTCAAATATAGGCACACAGTTTATATTTTTAATACTGATTGTGAAATGATGTCAAATCTCCCTTACCAATGTGTTTTATCTCCCAGAGTAGTCTTTTTGCGTGTACAAACTCAAATATACCAATTTTGTAGGGTGTGTTTGACAAACCACTATTTGTTGGTTGTTAATCTTTTTGACTCTCCATGTTGGTAGCCCTAATGCTGTGGTCCTGAATTCCAGATTCCCTAAAATAGAAACATTCGTTTGGCACTCAAAATGATACAATTTTCTATAATATGCTGTCTACATTTGGCTATCTCATTTGTCATATTTTTGATGAATGATAAATCACCCCGGACAGTGACTAGAGATGTCACTATAGAAATTTTGCTTCACGCTGCGCTTTGTGCCTACAGGACCACAATTTGTCTTGAATATAATTCAATTACCATTTTTCTATTGAATCCTCTCCGAATATATGCACAGAGTTTATATTTCTGATTGTGAAATGAAGTTGAAACACCTACCGATGTGGTATATCTCCCAGAGTAGTCTCTTTTCGTATGCAAATTCCAATATACCTAAATTTGTCGGATGTGTTTGACAAACCACTATTTGTTGGTTGTTGTTCTTTTTGATTCTCCATGTTGGTAGCCCTAATGCTGTGGTCCTAAATTTCAAATTCCCTAATATAGAAACATTCGTTTCGCACTTAAAATGATACAATTCTCTTTATTATGCTGTCTCCATTTGGCTATCTTATTCGTCATATTCATGATGAATGATAAATGACCTTGGACGGTGACTAGTAATGTCCTTATATAGAAATTTTGCTTCACGTTGCGCTTTGTACTTACATGACCACATTTTGTCTTGATTATAATTCAATTACCATTTTTCTATTGAATCCTATCCAAATATATGCACAGAGTTTATATTTCTGATTGTGAAATGAAGTTAAAACCCTTACCGATGTGTTATATCTCCCAGAGTGGTCTCTTTGTGTATAAATTCAAATATACCAAGATTTGTAGGGTGTGTTTGACAAACCACTATTTGTTGGTTGTTAATCTTTTTGACTCTCCATGTTGGTAGCCCTAATGCTGCGGTCCTAAATTTCATATTTCCTAAAATAGAAAAATTCGTTTGGCACTCAAAATTAAACAATTTTCTATTTTATGCTGTCTACATTTGGCTATCTCATTCGTCATATTCAGGATGAATGATAAATCACCTTGGATAGTGACTAGTAATATTATCATAGAAATTTTGCTTCACATTGCCCTTTGTACTTGCATGACCAAAATTTGTCTTGATTCTGATTTAATTACCATTCTACAGACGAATCCTATCCAAATATATGCACAAAGTTTCTATTTTTATTACTGATTGTGGAATGATGTCAAATCTCCCTTACCAATGTTTTATATCTACCAGAGTAGTCTTTTTGCGTATACAAATTCAAATATACCAATTTTGTAGGGTGTGTTTGACAAACCACTATTTGTTGGTTGTTAATCTTTTTGACTCTCCATACTGGTAGCTAGCTCTAATGCTATGGTCCTAAATTCCAAATTCCCTAAAATAGAAACATACGTTTGGCACTCAAAATGATACAAATTTTTATAATGTGCTGTTTACATTTGGCTATCTCATTTGTCATATTTATGATGAATGATAAATCACCTCGGACAGTGACTAGTGATGTATGTCATTATAGAAATTTTGCTTCACGCTGCGCTGTGTACTTACATTACCACATTTTGTCTTGATTATAATTCAATTACCATTTTTCTATTGAA